GTGCCCAGCTTATTCTCTAAACTAATGTGCCTTCGTGGCTGCATATCACCTGTCAACAAACTTTGTCTTATAATTTGGGCATCAATTTTATCCACATAAACATAACAACTACAATTCAATAACAACAACATGATGACATGAATTCAAATATATAAATATAAATAATAATAAAACGCAAAGCATATATAATAAAATAGAGTGAAAGGGTTCGCCCTAAAATCAAAAGGTACTAATTAACAATTGAGTTTTCTTTAAAACACAGGAGATAGTTGTCCATCATACGTCTCACCATTTCAAGTTAGCTCTTTGCTCGGAATGCATGGGTTGGATGTCCATCCTTCATTCTCATGTTTTATGTTATATAAATAGGGACTTTTCCTTCCACTATCCAATATAGGGAATCTATATTGATCACCTCACATCTGTTTTGACGGTCGTATTTCTTAAATATAAATAATAATAATAATAAATAAGTCAAAATTCTATTAGACACGAAAAACTCATTTAGTACCATTTGAAAATAATACGATAGAAAATGACATTGAACGATACGAATTGACACTCCTAATTTGATACATATACATATATAAAAACTTTATTCTATATTAAAGCCTGAGAAAAATAAGATATAAATAATTTTATCTTTATGTTAAAAGAGATTGGTTTTTAAATTTAAATTCACGATATATTAATTGGATGAATAAACACTTATAATTGTCTTATTATGATCTCTTTGTGAATATTTTTTAATTATTTGACATGTCCTACCTAGTATGACACGTGTGATAAGTCCACACGCATTTTGTTATTTATTTAAAAAAAATAACCATGTAACCATCATGAGAGTAGTCACCCTTTTATTTTAATCATAATAAAGTTTTAAAATACCATCATAATTGACAGGAAAAGATCACCAAATATTATTCCCCTCAACTCAATGAAATGAACATGGTTTTGAGCAATTTGTTAAAGTTTTTTTTTACCTTGTAATGATTGGAGCTATGAAACTAAAAACTTAGTACAAGGCACCAATGGGGGAGGCACCAAAAACCCGAGTTTTCAAATCGAACATGGATTCCGACCGTTTCAAGTACAATATTTAACATGACTATTTTTAGATATTTTTACAAAATAATTTGTCAATGAAATTTTTTTAATCACACTCTTTATAGGTTATTATATTTTTAAGGATACTCTCTCTATTTTTTAAATGTTCGTTGACATTTCATGTTAGATTAAAATTTTTAACTAGAATACAATTTTCTTAAATTGTTCATGATATATTTTAAGAAATAGTTCATCCACACCCTCTATAGATAGACATATCTTCAGTGAGATCCCTTATATTTTATGAATTTTTTTCGTATTAACGTTCAGGCCGATTAAAATTCGATTCGAGCAGATTAAAATTCGTTTTTAATCGACTCGAATCAAATTTTAATTAATTTACATTGAATTTTAATACTAAAAAATATAAATTTTAATCAACTCAAATTTAACTTGAATCGAATTTTACTTGGCATGAATTTTAATAACTAAGAAAATATAAATTTTAATCAACTTGAATTGAATTTTAATCCGTGCTAATAGCTCAGGTTGAGCTCAAATCGGTTTGAATTTTAATACGTAATTTTTTTAAATAGGCTTGCATTTTAATACGTAAAGAAAAAAAATTTAATAAATTTAAATTAAATTTTAATCGACTCAAATTTTAATATGTAGAAAAATGAATTATAATCGACTCGAATTTTAATATGTAAAAAAATAAATTTTAATCCGCTCAAATTTTAATCAAATTTTTTGTAAAAAGATTGTTTGGGGTTTATGTAAGAGCAATTTATGTATTTTAGATGATTTATTTTTTTGTTAGAAATGATGGTTTAATTGCAGGAGTGTTAGTGATGTTTAAATATAAACTAGAAAGGGTGTCAGTGATGTTTTGAATAATAAAATAGTATCCTTGAAGATATGATAAACTAAAAGAAATGTGACTTAAGTTTTCGCTTTATCAAATTAACATTCTCTAAGAAAATTATTCTAATACTTGTACTTTATATAAAATAATTTCCATATAACTTTTTTTAATCAGGTTCAATTTTTTTACTTATAATTTATGCATGAAAAACTTTTAAAAGAGCAAAGCAAAAAATTACCATGAAGAATTACTTTATAAAGAGTGTAAATAGCAAAAACACTAATGTTTGCAAGACACAATAAATTTTGATAATTATTATTCGGTCATTCTCTTCAATTCGATAGTTGTCCCACCGGAAATGGACCATGACTCCTCCCCCGCGGTATTCGTTTATTTTGTTTCTAATGGATCTCAACTATATTAGGGTTTATTCTTAATTTTTTGGTGTAAAGTAAAAGAAGACCGAGTTTAACACAAACAAAAAATGTACATAAAACAAACACCAATAAGAATATGCAGCTGAAAATCATCCATTTGTGCTTTTGTATATTTGGAATTCTTGGTAAGACATCAGTTTAAAGATGTATATCGTTGTCAATGATTATTTGAATCACGAACCAATAGCGACGATTTTCTGATTTTCTTCTTGAAAGTAAAGACAAGATTAATTGCTTGCAGAAATCACTCTTACCAAATATGTGATGTTCCTCATGGCCAAATTCTATATGAAGACTCATTATATTCTTTCAGTGGCCCGTCCTTGTTGATTCATAATTGATGATCACATGGAGATTGAAATTGGCTCTGATTGCCAACTACCTAGCCAGCATAGGAGAGAGATAAAGGAGGATTTTGGGAAGTCAAATACGCCCTTTGTCTTTTGGGGGTCTGATTGAATTTGTGTTAGGTATATAGACACACAATGAGATTGGACCAAGCTATAAACGTGTATATGTATTTTTAACAGAAAGTTCTTCTGTGGTTGGTTGGGTACCTTGTAAGGTTACTTTGGGAGCCTTTGGAGGAAGGTCAAGTAGGAGTAGGCAGCCTATTTTTTAATCATCCAATGTTTGGTATAATTTTTTTTTTATAGGGTGTTTAGATTTGTGTCGATTACTCTTTCGAACTGATCACCATGATTTAAACTGGGTTAGAGTATGTATCTAAAAGGGATAAAAATAGATTGGCTCTACGAGGTATAGAAAGAGATTAAACCTGAAATTTTTGAGTTATCAAAAATCAGACTCAACCACTAAATCATCCCTAAGAATTTATATTTAGTCCAATTAATTCCAAATGTAAAACGGTCAGGAGTCATTTTCTCTCTCATGCTTTTTGAGTCAAATGTAAAACCAACCCATGATCTGGTTGGTAGCCAATCTCTCTCTATCTCTCATCCTTCGTGTACATAGTATTTTGATATGTATGACAGGTTAATAATACCTATCAAACTCAAGTTCGGATCACCTTTGATTCATTTTTGACGCGTTCAAGTCCATTCATATGCTAGTGCAATCCAAAACTGTTCACCATTTGTGAGCCAAGCTAAGCTATTCGCGAAGAGCTCGGTTTATCACCTATGTATTGACATCTTGCCCATCTACCGGGAACAAAAAAGACAACCCACACAGTGAGTGCATATTTCCTCATATATATATATTATATATTTACAAATATATAATATATATCTATCGATACACGGGTAAAGAATATTAGTGTCATTTTAGAAAGTGTAAGTGGTGTTTTTATAAATAAAATAACACACAAGGGACGTGATTGTAGTTTTCCAAGTAAAATCAAATAGGTGTGAGATAGATTTGAAAATAATTTATCATAGCATAGCAGCGTGGTGCCCGTTCAAAGACCCAAAACAGCCAACATAACCTTGTTCTGAGACTCCCGTGATTCACTCCTCTCTGTCTCTCGCCAAGTGGTGGCTTTAGAGAGTAAAACGTGTTTACCCAGAAAAATAATCTTACCCTGAAAGCTACTTCTTCCAAAAATCTCTTTCATGCTCATTAAAACTGGATTTGGCATTGAATGGTAAACCCAAAAAGAAACGAAATAATGACGAAATATAATAAATAATCTCACTCCAACACCCCCCCCCCCCTCCCCCCTGTATCTATAATATATACAAGGTAAAGATTAATAAAAGCAAGAAATAGTAAGAGAGGTACTTGTTACTTCATTTATACATAAACCACTAGTATATATTCCCTATATCTAACATACAAGATTATAAAAAAGAACAGAATTTTCGGTGGCTTTGGATGCTTCCAGTTTTAGCCAATCGTGCCTGCCAGCTTTGCTTTGAATGTGTACATAAAAACTAGTAAAAAGTATGAACACTGTTTTATGGAGTAAAAAAGTCACATATATAATGTATTGGTATATATATTTTCTAGAAAAGAATAATAGAAAGCACTGACAGAGGCTTTTTGTTCTAAAGCTCTGAGACGAATTTAGAGAGAGAGAGAGACTGAGGTGGGTAAGATGAGGGAGTTGGGGGTGATGGTAGTACCACTACTCATCGGCATTTTGGTACTGGGTGGTCCGAGCTTTATCAATGGCGATACAGATCCATCTGATGGTAAGCACTTCCCCGTCAATTCCATCTTTACTATATATGAATCTGTTGAATTAGCCACAGACATGGGGTACAACTTGTTAATGGGTTGTGGTTTTCTCTGGATGAAAGTAGATTCAGAGGTAGTTAGGCATTACATGAGTAAAGAAGATTTCTTTCTTATATACAGAATTTGACTCAGACAGAGGAAGAAGCTGCTCTTTTCTAAATCTTCTTTTCTGCTTTGTAGTGACTATAGCTGACTTTTGAATCTCATTAGTGACATAATACAGAAAAATTGAATTCACCCAGAAATTCTTGGTGTAACAGGCGATGGTTTGTGAAGATTTTGATTCTGAATGTTTCTTGTTTAGCATTCAGTGTAATGGGCCTTCTGAGATAGAGGTGAAATATCGTAAAGATTGAGTGCTTTTTGTTTTTTCCCTCAAAATAACTGGTTTTCTGACTTTAGTATTTGCAATAATTAGTCTTCCGAAGATACTTCCAGTGGGTGCATGTTTGGCAAAACCTTGCCCATTTGAAAGTATTTATTAGAAGTTTAATGGAGTTAGTTTTTTTCTTCTATTTGTGCTCTGGAGAAGGAGTTCCATACGGGGATAAAATTGCCAACAGTGATGCAATTTAAAATGTTTGCTGATGATCAACAAGACCAATTAAGAGCAGTGAGAGTATGACTATGCCCTAAATAGCTTCAAAGAAGATGCACAACACTTAGAGGAAGCCGAGCTTTGGGTATTTCCAGGTTTTGACATATGCATGGGCAAGTTAATTCCCCAGCTGATTCTCAAGTTAAGCTGGGCACAAATTGCACTCCAATATCAGTCTATGGAATGGTTCATCTGAAAGAAGCAAATCTTGGTTGTTGTCTTTGTAGGTAGCATTGAGCATGGCCATCTAAAACTTTCAGTTTTTGAAGCTTATCTTTCAGTATTTGTGTCACTTTTATTGTAGATTTTGTTGATATAGGTTCTTGTAGTTACTTTCTATATCGGTTACGTTTGCACCATTACAAAGTATCAAGTACAGCCTATGCAACTTTAACATCCTTTAGGATACATATAAAACGCTTGATTGGATTTGGGTGAGTAATGTCATTAGCTTGTTGGGTGTCAAACTAGTTGCTTGATACCAGTGATTAAAATAAAAGATAAAACTTGTCGCAGTCTTTATGTAACAATTCCTACAATTATTCATATTTTTGTCTTGTGCTGTTCCATTTCACATCATCTTTGGCATTAAAAATTGATATTAGAATATGCAGAATCGTTTTGAACTTCTCTTAGATATGAGTGAATATATCCAAAGATAATCTTTTCCCATGGCAATTTTGATGCACAGCCTCTGCTCTCAGGGTCATGTATGGCAGTTTGAATTCACCACAGCAGCTAACCAAGTGGAGCTCAACTGGTGGTGATCCCTGTGGAGAGTCCTGGAAAGGCATTTCCTGCTCAGGATCAAGAGTCACAGAAATGTGATTTTCTCTTTATCCTTTCATTTTCTCATGCAGGTGTCCTCAAACATCGTCTGTGGTCTCTGATGTTTACTTTGCTGTTTGTTTTCCATCAGCAAATTATCAGCCCTTGGGCTTTCTGGGTCACTGGGGTACCAGCTCACAAGTTTGACATCAGTAACCAACTTGTATGATTAACGGCCTTCTACAATCTGTTGATATTCTCTCTTGCTTTTTAGTTATCCTAACATGGTGATTTGACAAAATTCTGCAGTGATATAAGCAATAATAATTTTGGCAATCAGATAACTTATCAGCTTCCTCCGAACTTGCAGCGACTGTATGCTTCTATTTGCATATTTTATCTTCTTCTATAGAAATTGTTGTCACAACTTTCATCTGCAATTCGTTATAATGCAGAAATCTTGCGGGAAATAGCTTCAATGGTGGCATCCCCTATTCCATATCACTGATGGCTCCTCTTAAATACCTGTTAGTCTTATTCTTCAATTTGCATATTTGATATATCACTGATGGCTTCTCTTAAATACCTGTTAGTCTTATTCTTCAATTTGAATATTTGAGTACCCAACATGATTTAAAGTCTCAAACATTGATTGCTTGTATTATTTCTCCAATTGTAGAAATGTTAGTCACAATCAACTTCAAGGCCAACTGAATGACATGTTTGGACAGCTTCCCGCACTCTCCACATTGTGAGATCTACCTCCATCCCAATCTCAATATTTAAATTTATCTGGGTTCTCCCACATCTTGTTTCGGCTGATGAGTTCACGATGTATACTTTGACTATCATCATGTTACTTACTGCCATTATAAAGATCACCTTTTTATATCTTGGTGTGTGAGCCCCTTTAGAGTCATTACTTACCACCACATGTTTGTGATTTAAAAATGCTTTATATGTTCTTTGTGAAACAAAATACCAGGACTATGATACCTAGTTTAGAAGTCTTTAGAAGTGCCATCTATCTTCTCAAATATGGGTAGGGCCGCTAGGGTTATCCAACTCCTCTAAATATATGGTTTTTTTCACTACTTCTGAGGTGGATTTATTGAAAATGGATGATTAAGAGTAAAATATAAGATTGTTGGTGCTCTAATTTGGTTGAGGGGGGATTTGATTACTATGTTATCTTTGCTTCAGGGATTTCTCTTTTAATGCCATGACGGGTAACCTTCCTGAAAGTTTCAGCTTGCTTTCAAGTATGACCAATATGTAAGTACATTAATAATTCTGTTCCATGGTACTAATAGTTAATATATGTTCTGATCCTTTCTTGATCAACTTTTTACCATTTTGCAGGTACTTGCAAAACAATCAGTTTACAGGGACTATTGACGTCCTTGCCAATCTTCCCCTTGATAATCTGTGAGTGATATATGTATATTAAGGCCAAAAGTATGTGTGTATTGATCACACCTCAGTCAAAAAACCATTATTTCTGTTCTTGTGAGAGCCTAATTCACTTTAGCCATGTTCACTGATTCATGCTTATGTTTGTAGGAATGTCGAGAATAACCATTTTAGTGGTTGGATACCTGATCAGTTGAAAAACATAAACTTTCAGTAAGCATTTCCCACTGCTAAATCGTTATATCCATTATAAGATTACCATCAAGGTAGATTCTTTTTAGTTGGAGTGTGTTACAATCATAACAGGAAGGATGGTAACTCATGGGACTCGGGGCCTGCACCCCCGCCTCCACCGGGCACGCCTCCAGCCAGCAGGCCCAACCGAAATCACAATTCTGGTGGCAATAACCGCCCATCTGATGGTGGAGGTGGTAGCAAGAAATCAGGTGTTGGGGCTGGTGGTGTAGCAGGAATTGTGATATCCCTTTTAGTGGTTGGAGCAATTGCAGCATTCTTTATTATGAGGAGAAGATCCAGAAGGTCATCGGCAGATATAGAAAAGCAAGATAATCAGCCTTTCACTCCTCTTGCTTCGCATGATATGCAAGGTACACGTTCTCCATGTCTGTGTATCCTCATTTGGTTTTAACATATTTAAAGTTTCTTAGGGAATTGCTTGCTTTTGCTTTTTCTCTTTACGACATGGCATTATACTGCTTATGGAATTATGATGTGTTTGAATCGTCCTGTGGAGAAAAGATGGGAAAGTACCGCAAACTACTATAAAGTTTGCATATGCTTACAACTTCTTTTTGCAATTTGTTGCTCATTGAAATTTTATCTTTAACTCAAGGCTGTCTGTTCTTGGTATAAGATGATATTATGTGCCTATTTTGTTGTCAATTTTATCTGTGCAACATCATTTGCAGAAATGAAATCTATACAGACTTCCTCCACGGCTGACATAAAAACATTTGAAACATCGGTGTCTATAAATCTTAGACCGCCACCAATTGATCGTCACAAATCATTTGATGAAGAGGATTTCTCGGCGAAACCCATTGTTCCCAAGAAAGTCAGCACAGCTCCTATAAATGTGAGATCGTATTCTATAGCAGACCTGCAGATGGCTACAGATAGCTTTAGTGTTGAAAATCTTATTGGCGAGGGGTCCATTGGACGTGTTTATCGGGCTCAATTTGATGATGGAAAGGTATACTCCTTTCTCTGACGAATATGTAATTAGTTCCTGTTTGACTATGAAAAATTGTTTTCTTTTGTGCAATTGTACTTGCAGTTCACCTTATATATGCATTCCTACCTGGATGCTTCATGTTTTAGTGAAATTTATTCTAAAAGATATTTTCCATAATTGAGGCATTTTATGCTGGGTGCAACATAGCTCTGAATTTTGACGGGAACAGGTGCTTCTGGAGAGCATTATTAGTATGACTATTGTCATCCAGTGCTCATCAGTGGGCTTTATAAATATCAGTTGAGGGATTCCCATTCCAGAAAAATCCTTTCATTTACTGTAGTTGCCAAACCTCTGGCAACTGTTGCTGCTGATGCGCATATATGTATTTTGAAAGATATTTCACCATTTGTTTCTGTCAGATTTTCTTTCCTAATTGAATGCCCTGGTCTCAACTTTCTTAATCTTTGTTGACACACTAGGTTCTTGCTGTGAAGAAGATAAATTCATCTGCTCTTCCACATCCTGAAGACTTTATGGATATAGTTTCAGAGATATCCCAATTGCACCATCCAAATGTAACAGAGCTGGTGGGCTATTGTTCAGAGCATGGACAGTACCTGCAGGTCTATGAGTTCCACAAAAATGGTTCACTGCATGACTTCCTGCATCTCTCAGACGAATACAACAAACCACTAACCTGGAATACCCGCGTGAAGATTGCCTTGGGCACTGCACGTGGGTTAGAGTAAGTTACATTTCTTTGTGATTTCCTTTTATGGCATGTGAAGTCTAATTTTGACAAATGGTGCTATGTAGATGATATCCTTTACCTGTTTTCTTCCCTGTACAAAATTTCTTGATCATTTTCCATGAAGGCTATTTTTTAGTGTAGCATCATCAATTCGAAAGCTTTGATGTAGGACAGAAATTTGAATGGGTTAAAAAGAATTTATAAAGATACTTTAAGATGGTTCTTGTGGATGCTTTTACCCGTTAATTATGTTAATACAAGCAACTAAAATGTTTGCTGCCCATATTATAGTCAGCTGTTTCTAGACAAACTTAAACCGTTGACCTCAAGGAACCACAGCTTTCAGGATTTTAGGTTTCAGAGTAGAACTTGCTCTCAAACTTGATAATCAGGGGACAATTTATCTCAAGTCAAAGAAATGGATTCTTTATTTTTTATTCTGTCATGCACACATCTTGACGAACAGGGGATATTGAATTATTTATCATCACAAGTCAAGGAAATGAACTTTTCTTTGTTTTCCAGATAGAGGCAGCAATATCAACCAGATATAAAATTTAAACTAGGAAGCTAAATTTGCAGTAAATGGCCTCATTCTATTTTCCGATATTCCCTGGGAAATATATGAAAAGAATAAAATTAAGAAATGGGTGTATTTTGCTGTATCACCTTTTCTTTGCCTGTGGAGAAGATTAGATGAATCTGGTGCCAAGACATTCACATCCCCGCCACTCATATGGCATACATAAGTCCATCTAACATAGGTGGATTCCATCTGACCCATAGAGCATAGATGGACACCCAACTAGGGATTTCTGCTGGGAATAAGCATTTTTCATTCCTTCATGATGCTTTTGAGCTAGTCCCCTGGTGCTCACATTGGGTACCCTTTGCAGGTATCTACATGAAGTTTGCTCACCGTCAGTTGTTCATAAGAACTTTAAATCGGCCAACATTTTGCTAGATGGGGAGCTCAATCCACACCTTTCAGACTGTGGGTTAGCAAGCCTCGTTCCTGATGCAGATCAGGTCAAATTTCAGCCTCTTGAACTTTCTCTTGTTGTAGGTAACTCGTAGTTTTTTTTAATGCAAACACATGGAAATTCACTTTCCTTTTTACCCTACTGGCAATGTCAATTGCCATTGCACTTTGTTATATGAATACTTTGACCATGACAGAAAAAACTGGATCAGGACAGTTTACATGCCATTTCTTGTAATAAGCCAGGAGAAATATTTTTTTTTTTAATTACTCCAGTAAGTCACGCTTTTCCATGCACAATTTGTGCATCTATTTCATCTGACACCCTTACACTAAATTTCTCCAACTTTGAGCAAGCTTTGTGGACTGTCAAAATGTTGGAAATCTATTAATCTTAACAAAATGTCATTAATAAAAAAGCTACTGATATGGCATATCCCATGAACACCCATCATGGGATGGAAGAAAACTTCGGATGACTTTGTGGGTATTCCTGTCGAGACTTAAGAGTCACCGGTAGAAACTCTTATTGGTCAAATTTGACAAATCAAAACAAATATCTCCCTTTGAGATAGGAAATATTCCAACAAATGGAGATGGCAAATGTTACATTATTCCTGCATTATGATTCCGTTTTGTTGTGCAAATGCTGCCCTTATTGCAAATATAGTTAAGTTTGCATCTCAACATTTTCATGTATTTTTCTCCCTCTGCTGGAAATTCACAGGCATTGAACCATAATGCTGGGTCTGGGTACGGTGCACCTGAGGTTGCCATGTCTGGTCAATATACCATAAAGAGTGATGTCTACAGTTTTGGAGTAGTCATGTTGGAGCTTCTTACTGGACGAAAACCATTTGATAGGTATTTTTTTTTTTTGTTTGAAGTGTTGTGTGTCATTTCTGATCATATTAAGCTGATGGAAAGAGATTTAGATGTATGTTTGTCTGATTAGCTATGTCTCTTATATCTGACACAGCACAAGGTCAAGATCTGAGCAATCTTTGGTTCGATGGGCAACACCTCAACTCCATGACATTGATGCTCTATCTAAGATGGTTGATCCAGCACTCAAAGGGCTTTATCCGGTTAAATCTCTCTCCCGGTTTGCTGACGTGATTGCGCTGTGTGTCCAGGTAGAATTAGCTGGTTTTATCGTCGTTCATTTTTGTGGATGATAATGCAATTCTGATGTCCTATATTTACTATTTTGTGACAGCCGGAGCCTGAGTTCCGGCCACCTATGTCAGAAGTGGTACAAGCATTGGTCCGGCTGGTGCAGCGAGCCAATATGAGCAAGAGAACCATAGGAAATGAACAAGGTGCATCTGTGCGGGTTGACAACCCAGACACACCTTAAGGCGGCGTGGAATGCTTGTTTTGTTTCTTTTTTTTTTGACTATAAAAGCTCTAAACCAAACAAAAGTAATGTAGCGTTCTGCTTTTTCATTCTTTCCTATTCACTGTTCGCCATCCGCTGCTTATTTGTTCTCACTTGGGTCTCCTTTTTTTTTTTGGCTTTGTATGACTGGGAGTAGATACTGGATTTTGTTTATACCGAATAACTGTGACAGCTCTATCCATCATCTTCCTCTGGTATAAAAAGTCATCCAACCTTTTTTATGTAACTTGCATGAAATTTGCCCCTTTTACGAATATTTCGTTTAAATCTGTTGATCCCAGAATCTGCTCACCATGATGGATGGTTGAAATGACGATTTGGTTACCGACGGGAGTTTTCCAGTAAAAAAAAGTCAAAGTTTAGAGAGATTTCAACGGTCAACCATCGATGGTAAAGTCAAAAAAGAATGATAAAAAGAAATTATATTTAGTTGAGAATGAATTGCCTAGTAGAATGATGTATAACTTGCCCTTTTATAGGTCAGAATTGAACCGATAGAAGATCTAAAACAAAAACTAATGGCTCTAGCATAGATATTTCAACAAGTTTGAATTAGTCGAGACGAACCAAGCTGCCAAGCTAGAGTGCTGGCAAGCAGGGAGCCTAGGTTCTTGCTGGAGCTCACCTAATCAAAACTACAGAGCTCACAAGCTAAACTCCTGCCCACTTGCTAAGCTCGTGCCAATTTTACCATTATCAAAATCCAACCAACGTTATTATACTGCTGCAAAAATCACAGTTTCAGATTGAAATAAAATGTCTCAAACTTCCATGTCATTGCTCAAATAAATTGGGAAATCGTACCTTCTAAGTACTTTTTGGGGTCATTAAAATTTATGAAAGAGAAGTCGGTTAAAAATAAAAGTAATCCATTTGGTGACGGGATCAATCAAAATTATCACAAGCACAACAGGAGTTTGCACCAACCCTAGCTGGTCTTGGAAAGTTTTGTTAAGTGTAACAATAGCACCAGCTAAAACAACTCGATACAGGATCTTCATCTTAAAAACGAACGGAAACAACATGATGAATATTCCCCAGTTGTACCAGATACCACAATTTTCTTCAGAAGGTAAGCATGGCACCTCAATCAATTGTAGACCATGTACTTGGGAGTTGCACTGAACTTCTGGTAACCCTTGATGACTTTGTTCACTGCATCAAGGAAGTCTTTCTCTGTTACAGTCTTCCTTCGTGCTCGAATGGCATACATTCCAGCCTCTGTGCACACGCTCCTAATGTCAGCTCCTGAATGAGAGAAGATCCAATGTTAAAAACCCATATTTGGAACACTCATTGAGACGTTAAAAAAAAAAATAGCAGAGGGCAAAATAACAAATGCTTAAGAAACAGCTTCCTTTGTTCAGTTGTCATCAATGGCTACATCTGTTAAAGGAGAGCTCCAATGTTGTTTTCAGCACAAGAGAGTAGTTATAAAAAGGCCCAAAATTCGGAATAAACATTAACAAAAGCAAAAATTGACTAAAAACCAACTATGAAAAGGAATTCCGATCAATTTTTCATAAATAACGATATAATAATAACCGCATACTTGCCAAAATAGACATGGCGAGAAAAACAAAATAAACAAGCCAAAAGTCTAAAAGAAACAAACAAAAAGTCTCTCGACAAGTAATCTTCATTTTAATAACAAAGACACTTCTGTATCAGAAACTTTAATGCAGAAGTATAACATAAAAAGGTGAAGCTTACCAGTAGAATTTGGGCAGAGGCGAGCCAGAAGTTCAAACCGGATGTCCCTTTCACAGTTCATCGTTCGTGTATGGATCTTAAATATTTGTGTCCTGCTCTCAAGATCTGGTAAGCCGAATTCAACTTTGCGATCCAACCTTCCAGGACGCAACAGAGCCGGATCTAGTGTGTCAGGCCTAAACAAATGGCAGGGATGAGGCATTATTAATGTAAGCAAGAAGCAGGTCCACAAGTTTTAGAAGTCACCAAAAATCTAGAAAGAAGAAAAGGAGGATGGAGAGAAAATACAGCACCCTTAAACAGAAAAATACTCGTTATTCTGAAAAGAACAGGGTTCATATTTTGGAGATTGAGATTAAAAAGAGCTAGCCCTAAAATAGGGACAACTGAATGAGTTTCTCCCAACAAAAAGAACTAATGGACAAAAATACCGCAAAAGAAGGTAAAATAAAGAGACAACAAAGTCACCATGGGCTGTTTGAAGTCAGATTGGATGTGGTCCTCCAGTTGTGATTGTGAATAAACCACAAGCCAAACAAAAGGACTGTGGACAAGCACATGATAGAAATCTCAACCCCACCCCCCACCCAAAAAATAAAATGAAAAAACTGCCCCAGAAAAAATCAAAGGAAAACGGGTTGAATTTAGAAAAACATGAAGTCTCGGAATACATCTACTAAGATCAGTTGTGCTCCAGGAACAAATAAGGTCACTCTTTCTATACAAGGTCAACAGACTTGATAGATACAGCTATAAACAGATAGGAAATTATAAACAGCAGTTATATGAGAAGTAGCCAACTTCACCTATTTGTTGCCATCAGAACTTTAATATTCCCACGAGCATCAAATCCATCAAGCTGATTCACTATTTCGAGCATTGTGCGCTGAACCTCATTGTCTCCACCAACACCATCGTCAAACCGTGCACCCCCAATGGCATCTACTTCATCGAAAAACACAATACAAGCCTTTTTTGAGCGTGCCATCTGCCACAGCAAATGCATTAGTCACATATCTAACATATTAGCAAAACACAATTATCTAACGTAGCATGAGACACCTTATCACCTGAAACAGTTCACGAACCATCCGAGCCCCCTCACCAACATATTTCTGCACAAGCTCACTTCCAATAACACGAATGAAACAAGCATCAGTTCTATTAGCCACAGCTCTGGCTAAAAGTGTTTTGCCTGTCCCAGGAGGACCATAGCAGAGAACACCCTTAGGAGGATCAATTCCAAGCTTCACGAATTTCTCGGGGTGAAGCATGGGTAACTCAACAACCTACAACGGATGTTCAAGATATCAGGAAAAGGTATGTCATCTGTTATATTTGCAAACCAGTCTCTAAGGAAAACTTATTCGCAGGTAAAATGTTGGATATGCACCAAAAGATATAAAGGAAGAAAGGGGAAAAAAGACTGGCTCAGTCACTAGGAAGGACAGACACTTCATTTTGAGCAGAGTGTCGGTGTCGGACACAAACACGTTTTCAAAATTTGTCGGCCACGTTAAAATAAGTGTCCGATTTTTTTATTGTTAAATTTTTTTAGGACACATTTTGAACATGTCGGGGACACGCGACCAACACGTTGGAAACACGTTTTGAGATATATTTTCAATTTTTTGAGAACTTTTCAGATAATTTTATAATTAAGAGTTATTTTTGTAATTTTAAAGGGACACGAGTCACAATCATAATATGAAATAAGTTATAATTATTATATTGAACATTGGACATGATGCAATACAATTTTGGATACGAATACGAACTGATATACAAATGGAATAAACTTTTGATATGACAATAATGTGAGAAAAAATGGGATTACAAAATTAAGGCTCTTGAAAATTGATGAAAATTAATGTTACGAAATGTAATATTTTTTAAAATAAAAGTTGTAGTAGTCATTGATTGTTGGATTATGGATGTTAATGGTGAATGAGTATTGGTGTATCTTATATTGTACTTTTTATGCAGTGATATCATAATGTAAAATTTTAGAATTAAGGAAATGATAAATTAAAATATTATTATGATAATATTTAATTTTATCATAATTATATATAAATACATAATATTTCACATATTGTCAACGTGTCCGTATCCTACTTTTTTGAAAAACTAGGTGTCGATGTGCCTGTGTCGTGTAGTATCTGTGTCCTGCATCCGTGTACGTACATCTTAGCTTAGTCAACAAGGCTCATGGGACTATGGGGTTTGGGGGGGTCTTTAAAGAAAGAAAGAAAGATGGTCAGAATCAGATTTACAATATATCATACAAACCTCTCGCATCTTTTCAATCTGTTCCTTGCACCCACCAACATCATTGTAAGTCACATCTGGTTTTTCCTCTACAGTCATCATGGTCACACTAGGATCAATTTTAGGAGGCAATGGGATCTGAATTTGATACTTATTCCGATCAACACTGCAATGGTAGCATACTGATCAATCTAAATCCGGTATCTCACAATGAACTAGAATTAAATAACACAATATGAGAAAATGTACAGAAATGGAAACAAAATGGTAGAATTGCCATAAAAAAAAAGGTTTTTGGTTCTCAGGAACTATCACCATGACACCGGACACAAACTAACTGAAACCAAAAAAACAAGTGTATCCTGAACACATTACTTCACACCCCTATATATGTTCCAAACTTTGGACTGCTTGCAAATAATTCCAAATTTCCCAAAATATTAAGAACATGAAAAACACACTGGTGAGACTAGCACCAACTAATGGCCTTTAAGTAACTACAATCTCACACACAGCACAAACCATAAGCAATCTAATGGCTTTATCACTCTTTGTCATCACTTCCTTCCCTAACCTCACAAATACACAGTGGACAAGTAGGCTGGAGCTTCCATGTTCTGGCCTTGGCTTAGCCTGGTCCCCGGCACAACAGGGAGCTGAATGTGTGTTGGTCACTATAATCAAGAACACATGGTAATCAAAATTTCTTATTCCTTTTGGAATTCTCGTCAAACCTAAAATCTCCATTAATTGTATAAATTAAAAACAAAAAAATTAGATACACACTGTATAAAAGGAAACATTACAATCTCAGAAACAAAGTTAGTTCTAAGGACATGAAAACAAAGGAGTTAAGAGATGAAGTCTGGAATCGAGAATCAACGCCACCCCCTCTGGGGGGTTTTGGATTTTTTTTCTTTTTCCTTTTTATTTTTGGGTTTTTTTTGGGCCAGGGGGGGGGGTGGAACTCAGTCGGCAGTGAGAAAAACAACACATTAATACCTGTTCTCACATCATAATTATTTGTGCCACAAAAAATCAAGAGTTAACATAAAAGGAGATGAGACATGACACAGGAGTAGGCAAACATAGAACTTTAAAACTGCAACCAGCAGTCTGAACCTTCAAGAAACACTGTTACTCAATTGGAGAACACCACATTCAAGTTGGATCACCTACACAGAATTGATCATAGATGATAGGTCATAACAAAACGCTCTCGACATAGTTTTAATGATCCATTGTGGTCATGGAAGTACCCTTTCAAAGTAACCTCAAAGAAAACCCATCCATGCATGAATAGTTGGGGTTGTCTCAAAGAAATTGATGTTACCGTCCACAATAAGCACATATACGCAAAAAGCTTGGCTGCTTATATACCGTAAGACAAGCAGAGAGGAAACCTACCCAACACGCATGCCTTCTTCAATATCCGTTGGGGAAACTTTATCGCCCAACCCAACAACAAACTGCAGTTATGAAGAGAGAATAACATTCAGAAAAGACGCAGAATATCTCCAGAGAGTAAATCAAATTAACTTACATAGCTTATTCCAATATAACATATACAAATAAATTTTTCACTATGTTTGCGTCTTTGCCAAAATGTAAAAGAATGGGCAATATTATTGGATTCAGAAAGTATATCACACTAATGCATAACTGGCTGAGGTATGAACTCGCTACCTCCTATTTAGGAGCTAAAAAGGATACCAATGGGCCATTAACAGTTTCGGATCGCATCCCCACTGTGATCATATTGCACTTTTCAGAAGTAGAAGAAGTAACAAATGCTGTAGCAGCCTCCACTGTGACAGTTAATCTACTGCTGTGATGCCACAGCTGTTTACTAAAGAAAACTCCCAAATTCTTGCCGCATCAAATCACTTCAGTGAATAAGCAGGCTTGATGATAGGAATTTACACATAATGGCTGCTCCGCAAAATCAAAAACCCGTACAACTTTGCTAATCAAATAGCATCGAAGACAGAAACCTCATTCTCTAAATTGACTACCTCAAAACTTCTTAAAAAATGATTACACCAACACTGCCTAAAAATCCCACCAATCCATTCTTCTAATTTTACTTGTTCCCTAAAAGAATACAAGGGGATGGTTACGTTGAAGGATATAGATATTTGAAGTTAATTTTAGAAATGAATTCCCCCCCCCCCCCCCCAAAAAAAAAAAAAAAAAAGAAAAAGAACAGAAGTAACAAGTTGGTGAGGAGATCCATAGAGGATATACCTTAGCAATTTGCTTAACATTTATAACATATTTTGCATCTTCAGTGTTTGGATTGATTATCTTGGTGCATCTTGCCACCTAGTGAAAACACCAATCACAGCTTTAGAAAGAGAACAAATGGAATACAAAAACTGTGCCTCCACAAATATAAAGTAGCACCACCTGAAGAGGTTGTTCCTCTTGCATCATTTGCTTATCAGAAACAAGATCCCATTGGCTGGGTGCAGCTAATCCAGTGTCAGACTCCTTGATACCTGTTTTGAGATGAAGACCAAAGTTATATTTTCAGGAAATATTGAGGTGTACAATATAACTAGATTAATCTCAATACCCATAAAAAAAAGTAAGAAAGAAACAATTGAACAAGATATTCTTGATTACGATAAATTAAAGAAACAATAGATAACAAAGCTAGAAATGACAATCGGTGATTGTAACTGGACAAACTGTACAACAAGGTCATTTAGTTTTAGCATACCAGAACAATGACAACATCAAGATATATATGACCGTTACAGACAATATTAGATGATGAAGGATCTACAAATCAGAGAAAATGTGAATAGGAACTATAACATACCGCATAAATCATTGATCTTTTTAGCCATTTCCTTAATTTCCTTCTCTGCTTTCTTTATGCTGTTAGAATAGGGTCCCAAACCCTGCATAAATCATTCCAGTGGTTCATCCTAAGTGACAAGGAAAGAATAACCCCAAAAATTCAACTCATCAAATGCCACAACCAACGTATAAATATGTATATGGGTAAAAGGAAGAAAAAATCTAGACGGGTAGATCCACTTGCGTTTAATTTGAACTTGTTTACATTAGGAGGCAAAGGGTGGGGCTTAGCGCAGAACCCCCAAACATGGTGTAGATATCATTTACGAACACACCAACGCCTATCTTTCGAATAATGAAAGGGCAAAGCTGCACAAGTATCCACCCAAGCCTCTTGGAAATAATTTTTCCGTGATTTTCAAATACTAGAATTTTGGGACTCGAAAAGACAAATTCCAAGCTAAGCTTAGCCACGTACGACTACTGCTCATTTGAAGTCGGTTTTTGGTTTATTGCAAGTGATAAAAGACGCAATTTTCAAATTCGATCCTTCTAAACTCAGTTCTTTCCATAATCAAACAGCATAAGACACAAACAACATAGCATCGGAGAATCAAGAAGCTATCAACAAAGCAAATCAAATCAAACACAGAAGAACCAAACGAGAACTGAAAATTAGGGCATAATAGGGGAAGAAAACAATACATAGGTTTTGAGGAGAGCTATATCGTCTTCATCGAGAGGTGGGGGGTTCTTCTCGTCCTTGATCTCATCCTCAGTCGCCATCGCTCAAACTCTTCAGTAAAGCTCACCTCTTGTCTTGGCAATTCGTTTCTTGTAACCCACGATTCATTTACATGCCCTTCTGCGACTTATTTATTTAGCGGTGGTCGCCACCGTCACATGAACATTTCCATCTCTTTTTTTCCCGAATTTGCCCTTCATCTGTCATTTTATTCCGTAGTTTGCCCTTCGCCGTCTATTTACACTAACACCCCCTTTGGAAAATAGACAAGTGAAATTATAAAAGACAGTAAAATAAAAACACTCTCCGCATCTCTTTTCTGATTAAATTGACTCATATATGAAATATGGATAAAATTTTATTGTATTCGATAAAATTTTAGTTATATAGTGCATTTTAACCCGGACAATTTCTAATCTCTTATATTTTAGAGTTGAACTATTATTTTTATTTTACTTTGTACCCTCAATTAGAAATTTTTTTACATTGTACCCTAAAATATCAATTTGTTTCATATCACTACAATAAATAATAATAAACTTAAAAATCTATCAAAGGATTGAAAAAAACCACAAAGAACTTCCCACCAAGTGCCTAAAACCACTTTATTTTACATCTTTTGCAACTAAATGGTTGGTGGGAAAAAAAAGTCTGTAAAAAGAATAAAATTTAGAGCATAGGACAGATAAAGCTATCAAAAAATATTTTTCTTGATTTTTAACTTGCACATGTGCAATAAACAATTACTTATTGATAATACAAACTATTCACATGTGCATTTATCATCAAAAAATTGACAGCCGATGTTTATTGGAGTGATATAAAATAAAATTATACTTTAAGATGCAATGTAAAAAAAATTATAGTTGAGCGTGTAAAATAAAACAAAGATAATAGTTTAAGGGGGGTAAAATAGATATAAATGTTCAATGATCTCCTTAGAAAAAATTATTAAAATATATTGATAGAATGATTTACGCTATTCTAACATGCATAATATGATATACAACTGTATAAACATAGTCATCGGCTTTGATCATGCTGCCGCTACCTAGATAAAACCACCACTCCTATAAACCAAACCCCACCCCCCCATAAGCTATCGTTTTCACGGATTTATTGATCAAGGTTCTTCCGCCCAACATTGCCTACTTATTACATTTTGAAGTCTCTTTTCAAGGTTCAAGAAGACGGACCATAGAAAGAAAACAGAGAAAGAAATGGCATTTCCTTTCCATCAGAAAGAATCCTGGAGGAGTAATGCAACAAATGACAGCCAAAAAAGAAAAGAAATCATCAAATTTAGCTACACTGAATTTCTGTACTTCAGAACATCAATCGTGTTTAAATCATATGTCTTGCAGATATCTGATATAGTATCCTTACTGAGACCATCATCATCATCTCCGCAATGAAGTTGTTTCTCAAGTTCCTCTGATGGTTGCAGTACCTAAATGCAGAAAGAAGAATATTATCTTGACACAGCAGACAGGTGAATTCAAGTGAACTGCAAACACAAACTCGACAACAAAAAGAAAGCAACAGGTATAATCAAATAGAAATTGTGACAAGGCAATATTAAGCAGAACCATAAGTCTATGACAGAATTGATGTCAAACCCACAACGTCATTCGCTACTAGATCAAATTCTTCTGATGCTTCAACACGCCGCTGGTGTGTCTATCCATCCACAGAACAACAATTATGATTTCAACACAATGCATGGCTTGCATACTTTAGCCATCAGTATGCAGTGAACTATGACACTTTAGATATCATATTGCAATAGTATAATGGTTAGTTGGAAATATTGAGGCATGTATTCACCAAAACCAGGGAAAGTGTTCAGAAACTATTCTCAGCCAAAGTACATGCAAATTACCAAATACTTGATACCAAATTGAGCTTTCTAACTTTGACCAATGAGGACGGACTTTGTCATGCAGCGACGAAATCTGTGACGTAAACTGTCAAACCAAGGCATAGGATTATGGCCAGAAAAACAGACGGAAACGGAAGATGTTGAATGGAGTAGAGAGTTTTAGTCTGGTCATGAGTAAGTATAACCCAGTTTCTTCTGCTTTAAACTCAAATCAATACTGTCAACAAAAGATGACTACAGTCCACAGAACACGTGTTCGCTAGACTAAAGTTAAAACAAGAAAAAAAATTCCCTTAGCTATATATGACACAATTTTGAAGGACTAAAGCCACCACTTTCCAGTTAGCATCATGTTTCGAGTTTCAACCATTTAGTATGTTAGGATAAAATTCCTTACCCATTGAACACCAAGTGAATTGTGGTCTGCCTTCTCTGAGTTCTCATTTGGAGTTTTACTCTCAGAGGTATCTGATACCAGCTGAAGAAGTTTCTCGCTCCCCTGCAACAATCAACATGAACCGCAAAAGATAATGAATCAATCAGGTTGAAGTTCCATGGATTAAAAGGAGGTTGAACCCAAATAAGACATAACAAAGCTTATGATTTCTTAGCAGATGCTAGGGTCAGGAATCAGCCCGTGCTAAATGCATACCAGAAACCGAGTGAACTATAGATCAGAAAACCAGGAATCAGCCATAAAATAAGTATAACATCAACAACATTCAAAGAAGAGTAATGCTACTTAGATCAAATTTGTTGAGCTAATCCACTCTTACCGTTTAATTTATTTTGAGCTAATCCACTCTTGATGTTGGATTAGTAGTGGGTCCAAATATTGGATGGGGACTCGTTGCAACTCCATCAGTAGATTAGGTCACAAATTAGATCAATAGATCCAAAGAAACCACATCATTTCCATATCAAGGGAAAAAATTAATGAGATAATAAGAATAATGAATAATGTTGTGCTTCTAACGTGACAAGTGCCACCACATAACCAATCCTACAGGAATAAAAATATTCCGATGAAGGAATAGCATTTCATGCAATTAGAGAGAGACACGTGAGCAATATGGACTTAGAACTTAGAAGTATTGCCAACTAAGACAATATGGCAAAGAGTCGGCTCGAGATGGTTCACTCATGCACAATGGAGGCCCATAATTCCTTTTTAGTACCACCAACAGCAGTGTAGATGACAAGCGGAGGGCATAAAGATCACAGGTTGATGGTGCAAGAAAGGTAAGATGGCCAACAATGTAACAGAAAGAAATGGCCAAACTAAGCAGAGGAACAATAACAATTGATTCGCAGCTTGCACAATAGAAATGCAACGATTGGGATAAGGTGCTGAATTTCACTAGGAGTTGTTCAGTTGGTTCACTTAAAAATGTCAACTCCAACATTAACATGCTCATTTGTCAACCGTCCCATGGTAAAACGTTACACAGCTTACACTAAAACATTCCACCAAAACATAAACGGAAGGCCCCAACTAGTTATAGAATGAAGAAAATTTGCTCACCTTGAGAGCTCTCCAGTGAGAATAAGTGCGGAATAAGACCCAAAAGAAGGGTATGTTAGGCAAAGGAAGAACCTATACAACATTAAAAAAGAAAAAGGAGGTCAAACGTGCAATGCAATAGATCGTACAAAACAATTTGTATGATAAAATGTGGATATCCAGGAAAGAGCCCCACACTGGCAGAACCAGAACTAGGTAATGAATTTACACTTAAATGCCCAGAGAGAGATAAACCTTTTAGAATAACCAAAAGGACAGAAAAAAATTGCATTTGACATTCTAACAGAAAAGAAATATACATACTGCGAAGGCACTTGTCAGTGGAAGCATCGAAACTGATCCATAGAAGTATTTCTTGTGAATAACAGTTCCCCTATAATGATCAGTGATATGATTCTACATTAGCATGACAAAATTTTTGGGAAACATACATCATTGAATAACATTACATATTAAGTGATATTATTCGTACATTCAAAAGCTCTGCACACTACCAGTAAATATGCTTACAAGGAAGGAGATTTTTTTCATACAGAAGAATTTTAAGGGTCATGGAAGAGGAAGCTCCAGTGAATTATTTATGTCATGATGTTATTGATATCTTCCCTCCCTCTCAACCAGTGACGCTTAACCATGATAATAATACATGGAGATACTTCAGAAAGAGAACTATCACTTAATCAAGTGAAATCCCGGACTAGATGCAGTTGCTTCTGTGTGTGGTGCATGCCTACTGTTGAGATAATGCAGCATGGCAATATTGAACCAAGCTCAACCAATTAGTGTCTATCTTTCTGTTTCTATTCTATTTCTATCTGTGTTTATTGTGTGGGTGCATGTGCAATGGAGTGCGTTAAAGCATGCTCAAAGTTGATTTTGGTCAAGCTGGTAGTTGCAAAAGAATGAAGTGATGTTCAAAGAAACCCCATCTTGACTAGTTGGAGTTGATCCTCAAAAAAAGGTCTGTCGTCCTATTCTAGTGCATTCCACGCCTTTAAAAATTAGAAATCAACGAGAATTTTCATAGCCATCGCGTTGTCACAAGTGAGAGTTGCAAGAAGTCAATGGTTAATGGCTACCCTCAATTAGAGCAGGGGCATTATGGAAAGAAAAACAAAGGTAGTTAAGGTTATCAAGTGATGCACAAAGGAGAAGATGTTCTTAATACATATTATTAGCATCTTGCTTTTAATGGCAATTTCATTACTATTCACTATTGGCAACAGAAACAGTTGGCAGACTTTTTCATACCTAAGACTCATAACAATTGGATACCAAATTATCTATTGCGATCTTAAAGACCCATCCCAAACCCAAACCAAACCAGGTCTCCCAAAGCTTCTACAATTGCGGAGAACAGTTGAGAATGACACAAAGTAAATCTCTGTCAGTTAAAGTGATATTTTTGGGCTATCCAAAACTCTAGCTCACACCACAAAAAACGAGACAACAATCTAAAGATGCAGTGTTATGGGTGATAAAAAAATGAAGACACCTCCTACTATTACGAGGTTAAAAAATAATAAAAATGGAATAGATGACAAAATTACCTAAAGGCAATATGTCGTAGCCTTCGGCGGACCAGCCGTGCATTTAAACTGCAATAGAATAAACAAAGAGTAACCAAAAGTCATTATAAAAATTAAACTAAAATTATTCAGTGCATCTTTTTTTCTCATTTGAAGATTGATCCTGAATCTTATGTCAAATCTAAAACCTCCCCCCCCCCCCTTTCTTTTTCCCCCCTTCTTTAGTGAATTGCATGAATTAAATAAATTGAGCCATCAATTCATGTACACTCCCTAGACCATGCTAGTGATACTACTCAATCCAGGGAGTCTCATTTTTCTAATAATTAATCAGAAGGACTCTCGCATTACCACCATGAAGGAAAAAAATCAGTGTCAGATGCACATTTGAAAATCTTTTGAAACAGTATTTCACAATCTTTGATTATCCGTTGAATAGATGGAGTTAAGTTTAGCATCCTTATTTCACGTGTTAGGATTTCTCAACCACTCTGAATTGCCTCATTACCAAGATATTTATCATAATCACATTCTCACTTATTCCCGGATATGGTTAATAAAATGCTTCATCCCCACTCATTTAGCATTTTCAAAGTTTTGCAATTCTTATCAAAGAGCTTTCTTATGTGATACATACAAACCCCTGGCTAACATGTCATACAGGACTAGAGTTTATTAGTTACCGGTGGTCAAAATACTCTACTTTTAGAAAGTCCAGTACCTTTTTTTTTCCCCTCTCATTTACAAGTTACCAAGACTCTACCACTCAGGCCTGTAATCATACAGAATGATTTATGGACCTTAGCCTTGCGCAATTACCAATCTTTTCTTTAATTAAATTCTAGAAGAGCTCTCACTAACCATCTGATTTGGTCTATCCTTGTTAATAGTCAACAACATCGAAGCCTATAATTTTATCTTATCTTGGCATGGCTACATATGTTAATCACATTTTTGTTTTTGGAAATTCTCATTTCAAGACCTTTCCCCACTTTTAATATCAATATCAATATTCTGAGAATCACTTTGCTTTGGTCACCAAAACAATGCTAACCCAGCATGCAGTAATGTCATCTTAGCCAACCAAGTACCAATAAAAGCAAAAAGGGAAAACATATGAAACACCAAAAGGTTGAGAAAAAATAAATGAAAGAAACAAACCTGGAGGGGTAAGTAATTTCAACATTTGTAACCTCCTTAGATATAGATTTCAAGAAAATCTCAGAAGGCCTAACGCCAGCCAAGAGGCGTAATCCCAACCTAACAAAGGAATTAGATTAGATTCGGTAATGGTAAATACAGTAACATTAAGACCTATTCCACGTTCAAACATTTTCAGGGGTAACTAATATGAAGTGAAATTTACCCATGAATCTTGTTTTTGAAACTTCCAGGTGGTGCTTTTTCAAGACCAGTCCAGGCCCTATTCATCTAAATAATAAATGTCGAAAAATCTGAACATCAGAATATCAAAATATAGAACGAACGAAACAGCCCACGTATTTTTGCATTACATATAGCATACAGTAACAAGAGAAGATAATGAAGGACACAGTGTGTGACCGACCTTATTAGCAACGAAATCAATAAGCAGCTCGGCATTGGAGTCGGTGGCTTTCTCAGAGGATGAGATCTTAATCCAGAGTTGTTTGAACGTGGAAGGAGTTTGGGAATACTGAGAGTCCAAAACGGACTGGTCAATCGATCTGCTAAAGCACCAGTTCCTCCCTCTGATCGGAAACACTATCAACCTAGCTCTCATGATACAATCTCTCAACCACAGTACAGTCAATCTTATATGCGTATGTTGTTTTACTTGTCTTGAATAACCACAAAATGAAGAATTTTAAGGCAGTTGTAAAACCCTAAAATAAATAAATGAATTGTTCGATTTCCAATAAAACAAAAACAAACAAAAAACCACCGTCGTGATTGAATGATATGAAATCAATTCAAAAAAGATCAGTTCATATTGGCAGTTCGTCAACTCTGAGGATGATTTTATGAAGAAGTGGTGAAATTTGGAAACAAGGACGAACTCTGCGTGTAGATCAAAGAGAAGAAGAAGATGAAGAACTACCAATATTTCCACGAGACCATCCTATGGGCGGCGAAGCGGCGCGCATTTGAAGGCAAGTGAGAGAGTGACGCAGAGATACACTAATATTGAATGTAACCGTTTATCCTAATCGTGTTGACTGGGGTGGGGTGAGTTCCTATTAGAGTATTAATAGTGTAAAAAAAAAAAAAACTCTATTTATATAAATTTATTTATTAATTTGTAACCAACGGATAACGTTTTAGCGTTTTTATGTCGTGTATGAATTATGTATTACTATTATATAAACGGATTATATTGTGTATTTATTTTAACTAATTTTATTTATACCTAATTTATTTATTAATTGTGATATATTAAATTCACTCTTTTATTAAACGAGTATTGCTAAAAAAACTAAAATTTTCTAATTTTGTGTCATATTTGTGTTGTGTTACATGATGGTATCATATTTTGACACATAATCACTAGGGGTGTTTTCGTTAATTTTATTTATTAGATACTTTATTATTAGATGACGACATCAAACAGTAACATCACCTCAAATCGATCTATAGTTACAATAAACCATTTAGCCCCAAGGGATTTAGAATATAGAGCAGCAATTTTGAAATCAGATTATTGAACATTATACACTTTCTTTTAAATTTTTGAAAAATTTGCTTTTACATCGCATGTTACTATGTGAGTGATTTAGTTTTCTGAAATTGAAAGAGAGAGGCCAGTTGAATGTGATCTCAAATCGTACCATGGGGCATAGGCCACAGAAATCGTTGCCCAGTCGGACAGCAACGAGTTTGTGGTCAAATCCCACTTGAGTCCACTTCTTCTAGTACTCATTTATCTCTCTAATCCGGATATGTTCTCCTAGCAATTTGAAGAAGCCCCACCAGCTCTCATGAGAGGACTCCCACATTGGCTAGTGTACCTGTTGTATATGAGGAGGAGGAGGAGGAGGAGAAGGATGCATATTTTTCATTGTAACTATTTTTTCCCACATGGAAGCACATTTCTGAGAAAATAAACATGAAAATACTATCAAGAAGACATCCCAGCCCAAACGATAAGAAAAAGAAAAAACACACAAAAAAAAAAAAACATAAAACAAAAGATCATCTACGTGAGCTATTATGAGAGGCTAATTTCACAAGCACCAGACCAGCAAACAAATAACATTCAAACATGTCTCGAGAAAGTGATAAAAAAAAAAAAGAAGAGGTATATATGACAAACTAATAAGAAAGATTCATGTGCCACTCAGCTCAGACCAGATAATTTGGGGGAAATAAAGGAGAAGGACGAAGGAAGAGGAAAAATAGAGTCAAGGTATTTCAACTTAAAAAGGTCAAATGAACTGACGTGTTTAAATAAAAAAGTCAGTCAATTTGACGTGTTTAAGTTGAATGTGGGCCACAATCTTCGTCTTAAAAATTTCAAAAGGACTGACATTTTAAAGTTAAAGACGTCAGTCCATTTGACGTCTTTAACTTAAAAATGTCAGACCATTTGACATTTTTAAAAACAACCTGGGTTTGAAAATTACTCTGAAATCAACCATTATTTGGGAAATTTTTTTTAAAACCCCGTGGGATGGGTCAAAAGCTCTGGCCTAATAGTTGTACATATCAGGAGACTGCAATTTCTTTTTCCAAACCTCCCTTGCATGAATATTTCTCTCATTTTCTCCATTTTAAGGACATTGTAATTGATTATCGTGGAACAATTCCAATTTTCACTCTATTTCACATATTGTAGCATTACTCATCCAACTCACTATAAACACACACAAGAATACAGGCCAAATTAGCCATCTTCAGCAATGAAAAAATATTGGAGCAAAGGTGAACCAGGACAAGGGCCAGAAGTGGGCAAATCTATATCCCTCATTCGTCATCTGCAATAAAATTCGGCACTTCACCCCGACAGAGGTACTCATCACATAGTGATGCTGATCCCCAGTCCTTCCGAAGCCGCAAAATGTCGTCTGTGAAAGTTGATCCGGATGATCCAATGAACACGTTAGACAAGGCACAGATGGTCTTATCCAGCATAGCTTCCACCTTCAAAATGAAAATGAATACACAGTGAGTTGAGAGTGGCATCTTGTTGAAATTAGGGTAAAAATCTATGGACAAGAAGTTCTGCAAAGAACAGAAGTAAGACAACCCCATAATGTTTATGGTAGCTTGGGAGGCAAGACTTTTAGAATTTATTTGGCCATGGTCTCAAGTTTGACTTGCTAGAGAACTCTGATTTTCCCAATGTGTATAGTTTGAAGAACTGTATAAGCATATCCCAAATTTGCGGTGCAGTCATAAGTACGAAGAACACATGGTTTGCATGATCATCCGTTATTGAAAAAACAAAAACCAGGAAAACACCAATGGGTCTGAGTGAAAATGCAGCCAGAAATATTGCAACTTCATGGGCCTCAAGTTTTTACTAATCAGCCCCAATCCTTTACCATAGTCCTACTAGTATATCACAGAGCTCTGGTACCCTGACTTCTCCCACAAAGTGTTTGTAAAGTGGGGAGGGGATTTTTGAAGGACCATAGAACACTATATTAATATTGGTATCTCGCAATAATTATTACTATAGTACCACAAGCTATGAAGCACGGACACTATTAAAAATGTGACGTATCCGTGTTGGACACCGACACTCTTCGGACATTTTTCCTATACTCTTTTATCTGTGTCCATAATTAAATGATAAAATTTTAATTTCGGACATTTGTCCGACACTTCTTTAAATCGTATCTACTACTAAACAACAAACATGTGTTGACATGTGATTAACAAGCTTAAAAATTTGACTATTAAGTATCTTATACTATGAGAGAATATATAATTACCAAGAGTAGACATATTAAAGTGGTACTTAAAATATAATAATAAATGTAAAAGATACATAAAAGATTTAAAAAAGAGCAACTGAGATGAAAGCAATAATTTAAATTATATATGTATATTACACGTCTACGAAAAAATTGATAATTATTTATTATTATAAAGTTAGTCTAAATATTCACACTATATGATTAGAGATAACATATACTTATCATAAAATACTTAACTTTTTATAAATAATATATCATTAACACTATATTTGTGATAAATTATATAATTTTATATATAAAACACAATTACATATAACGTGTCTGTGTCCTACGTTTTTGAAAAATGTCATGTTTGTGTGTCTGTGTCGTATCGTATCTGTGTCCGTACTTCTTACCACAAGTTTACTCAAAGTGCACAAAATCTTTAATAGTATGAAAAATGCAAAAATTCCATCTCTTGAAAGAAGCAATGATACAAAATAAAATTTTTGTTCTTATTTTAATAGCCTATGGATTGGTAAAAGCTAATAAAATGAAAAACCTAAGATTCAATCCTTTTACATTAACACCAGCATATATGGTCATTATAGGTGCAGTGGAAAGATTGCCTTGTAACCTCACAAATATAATGGTGAGATCTGATTTAACAAGATATAGCATAATGTTATTAGAATCGGGTCGGTCATCGAACCGGTAAGGGGACTGGATCAATGGTTCACTGGTTCAACCGTTGTGTCAACTGGTCAAACCGGTTATATAATATAAAATTAAAAAAAATATATAAAATATAATAATTTAATTAAAAAAATATAAACACATGTCCACAATATATACAATTTACCATAAACTTAACACCATAAATACATAATTCTATTCAAAAAAAACCTGCTTATGCCTTTTTACCCTCTCAACTCTCAAAGGCAATGACATTTTTGAGGCAAGTGTTTTTTTAATGTGTGCCTTTTCGAGGCAATTATATTATATTTTTTTAATATTATAGTATTGTTAAGAGTGTGTTCAGTCAAGACTCTTTTTTTTTTTAACTGGTTCAGTCAAGACTCCTGACTCAAGAGTTTGTTGCGTGTGTGTGAGAAAAAGAGAGAGAGGGGCAAAGACTGAGATTGAGATAGAGGAGAACAAAGAGAGAAGAATAAGAAGAAAAGTTACAATCATAGAAGGCGGAGGGAGACGGACAGCTGCTGAGCTTCGGAGGAGATTGCTTCTACCTCTGTGAGCGTCTAGTGAAGATTCGAAGTCGAAGAGGGCCTCTGCGTCTGCAGGCGCTGCACTGCATACGGAGAAGATGACGAACTCCACACTGAGGGTTCGATCGAAGTCGATTTGGGGTAAAATTGCCCTAAAAAATTGATTTCATTTTTTTTTATTCTTTAAATTGCAAACTGCTTGGTTTGAAGAACTTGCCCGGTTCAGGGTTTTAAGGCAAAATCAGCCGGTTTAACGATTAACTGGCAATTTAATTGCCTAAGCGGTCTAACTCAAGAACCGGACCGGTCTAGGCTCCGGTTTAAGGTCCAACCGGTTCGACCGGCCAGTCCGGTTCGGGAAAGCAACAAAGGCTCAGCATTTAAGGCGCCATACATACTACGTGGAAAATTCCAGAAGCAAATCTATATCTATATGTATACTACTAATAAAAGTGGTTTATGTGAAAAACTTTTGATTTCATTATTTATCCTTCAATAATTTTATAATGTCTATTTTAGCCTTTTTAAAGTGGCTGAAGATAAACCTTTTGATTTTCTTATTTATCATTCAAAAATTTTATAATGTCTACTATATCATTTTTTGAGGAATTTTTTTGTTTTTTTATTAGTTGTGTTAATTGAACTAATAAATTCATTGTTTGACTTTTGATTATCCTCTTTCTAAATAATATAAATTCGATCAAAATCTGATTTAAACAATGTGATCCGAATCCAATTCAATTGTTCAATGAATTTTATTTTTCACAGTGCATATATGAGTTTGTTAAGATAGATATTCGTTTTGATCCGACTAAATTAATTAGAAACGATTTTAATATTTCACACATGAATTTCTACTCAATTTTATTAAAAAATCACCAAATTACATCATATATTTGTATATGTTTGTAGGTACATAGTGCAATCCAAATTCGCTAAAAAATAAATATTTGAACATATCTAATAATCTATTTAGTACTTTTGAATGTCAATACTTGTCAAACAAAAACTTAATTAATAATACTATCTTAAAAAGCTAAAAAAACAATAATAACATATTGTAGTAACTTCTTATTAGTCTAAGAAATCAGTAGTCATCCATCTATTAATTACTTACTGAAATAAAACATTACAGTTTTTAAATGTAATGCAATTCAATTTTCTATTTTGAACCTTTTGCAATTCAGTTCATACAACCCAAAATACAAGAAAAATCTTAAGCGTAACAGTTACCCCATGTTAAAAATACCACTTTTTGTAACTGTCCACCAACAAGGGAACAAGTGGACAAGTGAGCCCTATAAAATTCAATAACCATCATACAATATATAACCATCTTCATATAAAAAAAAATTTATTCAATTTATCTATTTGTTTTACAAAAATTCAAAATAGTTGGCGTGCAACACACGCGTGCATCAACTAGTTGAACTAAATGCATTCTAAACCCAACATACTTCCCAAATAATTGACAATATATTTAAAACGGGTTGTAAATGTTAGGTTTATTGATGGTATGCATTCAATGAAAAGAACAAAGACATGCATATGAAATATTAGATAATGGCTTGTTATGCATATTTGAACTAAAAAAATAGAAAAGAAATCATGTTTACCTGAGGATCTCCATCAAGGCTGTGTCTATATAATAGAGCATTCCATTTTTCAGCTGAATTTCGAGCTGGCCTCTTCACAAGTGGTACAATCTTCTCATTTAGCACAACAAGGGACTGCAATAAATCAGTTTCACTTTCTGCAGCGTCTGTAGAAAGATAAATTACTGGAGTATTGGCTCTTTCAACTGCTCGATTAATGCAATCAGCAGCTTGAGGAATGGGATAAAAGCAACTTGGGCTTTTGGCATTGCTGACAAAATAAAGTAAGAATTGTTAGGGGAATTGTGATGCATATCTCTAGGAATGCGAATATATAGAAACATACCATACTTGCTCAAATGATAGTCCCACATTCATGAAATAAACTTTACTGTATGACCATTGATGATGTACGCCTTATACACAAGCATTGCATCTTATTTGAGTGGAGTAGTCAAGGCTCAACACTCATTGCCAACAATAAAAAAGAAAGAAACAAAAAAGAAAAACCTAAATAAAATTTTGATTGAACCACAAACAAAGGCATGTACCACGTTACCAAGATTATATCTCAACTGCACCTTCTTGGTGTATGCGCATATTTCATATAATTGGCATGAGAGTAAAACGAGATAGAAAAACCTAAGAACGACTACAAGGATTAAAGCCAACAAGCATTACCTGGTAATGCATATTTAAAGTTTTACATGTTTCAAAACTGTTGATCAGGAGATGGTAGAAGCAAGCCTGTTAAACATGGAAGCAATAAATAAAGGGAAAGAACACCATACCAAAACTTCAAGAACCCATGACGCCGAAAATGAAGTGCTATAAAGTTCACTCCCATGAATGTTTGGATGAATCGCTGGGCAGTGAGCATGATAAGACGACTTGGTTCAATCAGAGTCTTACATTTGTGTGCAATAGGACCACCTGGCTGCATCACACACTCTTTCTCAACATCAGCAAAGAATACATCTCCAATTGCAACAACATCGTCATCAGTAGAAAACTTTGCTATGACATCTTGAACTGTCCTCTTTCTTGGCTTCTTAGCATCCTCAACCCAAGCAGACTCAAGTTTATTCATTGAAATCCCCAACCCCTTCAACTTCTTAACGTGCTCATCATCCATAAAACAAGGTTGTGGCGAGGAGAAATAGCATTTAAATCGATCTATGTGCACATGGTTCTTTTTATTCTCCACAAACTCTTCAAATGTAACAACAACTTTGCTCTCCAAGCATTTATTTATGTGATCGATATCTAAGACACGACTGAACTCATAATCAACTTTGGAGCTCGGAATGACTAAAACACGACTAAGTACTGCAGCAAAAAACATATGCTTCTCTAAACAAATCAAATGATTCGACATTTGCCCAGATGTGCAAATTGCAAACAAGAACTTATTCGATCTCGGCTTCCACTCAATTGTTCTCCTTTGGGAAGGGTTCTGTTCGACTTTCCGGCACCTATTCACGCCAACATAAGGAATAGGATCCGTAACATTATCAGCTACATCCAAGAAATTTCCGGATTGATGCGATGACAACAGAACTTGCTGAATTTGTTTATTCAAATTGATCTGATTAAGCACCACAGATTTGATATCCTCTAGCAATGCAGAAGATGATAAAGGCAAAAAATGATCATGTAATGCCGTACTCGAGTCAGTACTATTGGCACTAGAATTCATAGAATCTGGTGCAGTAAAATTCGATTGGGTAGCAAATGTACGATTCCATAAATTGAAAAGCCCTAATTGTTGTTCTCTCAGCAAATACAAAGCGCGTAATTCGGACTGGCGCAAGCGATTTATGGAAGCATCGAATTTGAGGTCGAAAACTCTGGTTTGGAATAGATTTTTAATGTCGGTGGAGAAGTAAACTATGATGATGAAAAGTGGGAGAAAAATGGCAAAAAGAAACCTCTTATTGAAGCTAAACCGACGATTTCCGGTGATCCCATTCTTGAAATCGTCAATGTGGAAAGTCGAGTGTTTGGGGGGAGACTTACCTGGTCTTTCGTTTTGGTCGATTAGGTTCTCTCGATCCTCATCTTCGTCCGAAGATTCTCTCTCCATCATCCTCTTACAGAAAACAAGCAAGACTGTATCACAGAAAGATTATAATCTAGCTGTGCACATTATAGCTCAGAGTTTTGATACGAATGATCCCAAATTCTCTCTCTCAGTCGATGTTTGCTATGAGTGAGAGACGGTATGTTTAGGAAAGAAGAGGGATAAGATCACGTAAAGCTTAAGGTTGTTAAGTGAATACACATCAGGGAAGGGTCTGAATGAAGGAATCAATGATGATGACGAAGATATATACTCGTGAGAGAAACCTGTCGGTGGACGAAAATGACCCAACACCCTACCGGGTAATGTCCATGTTGGTTGGCCCATCAAATACAAATAGTCTCGTATCCAGATGATCTCTGACCCTGTCCAATTTTACCTTTTAATCTATATCTATATCTATACTATTAATAAATCTATATTTATCTATATCTATACCACTAATAAAAGTACACTATAAAAAAAAACTTTTGATTAACTACTTTAACCCTAAAATAATATATAAAGATAGTACTAACCTTATTTAATTTAGAACTCATATTAATAAAATTTGATTGATGTTAAACCATTAATTGGACAACTTTGCTCTCACAATACTGACATTATTAATATGGAATTCATATTAATAAGACTTCATTAATATTACACATATCCAAGGCTTTCATATTCTTTCTTTTAAAAAATAAAAATTAATTGTTAAAATAATTAAATTTACTTTTATTTATGTCTATCTATTTTCATTAGTTGATAACAAAATTGCATAAATGCACTAGAGTCTTATTTTGTATAAGATTTATTTTAATATAATTTGGATAAGATTATTAAACCCTACCATTTCATTTTCTTCTCTTTTATGTTTTAGTTTTAATAAATCCTCTTTAGTTATGTTTATTGGCAATACTATAAACTATTTTATTTATATTGTTTAGCAATGCTACGAATATGTTCAGTATCACATTAAATTACTTATCACAACTTAATTTCCTTAAATTTTCTCAACCAATTGTTTATAATTAAATGACTATCGTAACTTTAAATAGTTCAGTTCCGTATTTTTCATAATTTAATAAGTAATTGTGATATTTTTTAATTATATATACCCACATATTATAAAATATATTTGTACCATTACTATGATGTTGCAAATAAAATTATTCTAAATAATTAACTTCATGTGAAAAATTTTAAATTTAAGGATAGAAGTTTACAAGAAGGTAATTCATCCCGAGAAAATAAAATAATAAAATTTAATATTCGTTCTGCAAATATGTAGTGATATGTTGATTACAAATTACACATATTATGTAATAAGAATATTCAAAATGTTAGGTTATAAGTAGGTACTTGGTATTATATTTATTTAATTATTTTTAAAAATAAAACCATAAAAGAGTCTAGGTGCAAGACAAATGTGCACTATCTAGTAATAGTAAAAATCACCGTGCTTTACTACTTAGAGCAACTCTAACGGGGTAGGTAAAGGAGAGTTATTTTAGATATTCAATACATAAATTTTTGCTCAACCGGCTATCTATTTATTACCCATTCCCTAATATTCGCTCGCTGGATCTGACGATCGATTGTGCCTAGCTATTTCTCAACATCGTCGCAACAGAAGACATCATCTCAATAGAAGGCTCTCTCAACAGAAGGCTCAGTCCACAAAAGGCTCTCTCAACAGAAGGCATCGTCTTCATCGCCAAGCTCAGTTCACAACATCATCTTCATCACAGAAAACTCCATCTCTGGTAGGCTCTCTCCTGCTATATCTCGCTCTCTCTCACAAAAGCTTCTCAAATTTTTTATCACAGTCAGTTCTCAGATTCTTGATCACAAACTTGAGAAGATCAAGAATTGAGGTAGTAAAAAAATTTAATAAAATCCCCCAAAAATTCAGTAAAACTCCCCAAAAAATCCAGCAAACCCCCCCCTAAAAAAAATCCAGTAAAACCCCCAAAAAAATCCATCGATCTCACTTTCCCTATCTCTCAATCGACTCTAAAGACTTCACCATCTGAATTGCTCAGCCAAGACTTCACCATCTCATAACAAGAGCATTCAAATGTCTTTCTGATTTAATAAGGTAATATTTCATTACATTTTTCCTCTGTTATTGTTTTAGTTTATACCCACATCTGGGGGATTTTGAAGGGTGGATTTTGGGGTTTTCAGGAGGTGGATTCTGTTTTTGTGGCTCCTGATTTGGGGTTTTCACAATTGATCTCACTCTTTCTATCTCTCAATCGGCTCTGAAGCTCTGTGAATCGGGAGGTGATTTTGATGAGCAAAAAAAGGGTATATCATTGTTTTGTTAAATACATGTGACGGACTCTTATTTTATGACATTTACTCTTGTAGCCTATAATTGATTAAATTTATACAATGTATAGATAAATTGTTATTTTTTGAATTTTATTATTGAAAGTTAGTTAAAGTTAGTTGATGTGATTAATTAAAATAGATAGCGTGATTGAAGTGAATTTGAAAAAGTGATTAGCTAAAGTAGATAATATAATATTTAAATATATTTTGAGTAGCTATTTTATATAACATTCTCTTAGTCCCATAAAGATAAATTTTTTTTTTAATTTAACAGTGAGGGATATTTGGATCAGTTTATGCGCACATCTATCATTTCCCTCCTCCAGATAAGTTATCTATGTTGGGACTAGAATATTCATGAAAGATAAATCTCTCGTAACCTAGTTCTAAAAGATTATCAAATAAGATAAGAATTGTGTTTTTAAATGTTTCATACACAACAGTTTTGTAACGGGAACAGTCCTAATAATGTGTCTTCTATAATTCTATATATATAACCATAACATAAATATTGAATATAAATAATCAGTCAAAAATTTATGGGTTTCGAACAGTGCATGAGTTTATGTCTCACCTTAAACTAACTTATAGGCGGATTGCACATAACACTGTGACACATCTAATATCTATAATATAAAATAGGACATGCTTTAATAAGTTTATTCGATGTTCTCAAATATATTCATTCAACGGTTACTAATATCCCTCTTAAAATTATTTACATTAAATTTTCTTCTTCCCCCAAATCCATCACTATTAATTTATTGTGCTTTTCAGGTACAAGTTAGTTTATATACATAGAAGCTCATTGGTGGAAAATAAGTAGGTACGAAATTAATAATATACAAAACTTGGTCAATCAATTTCACAACCCTTTTTACACCCAACAAAGAATAAAAAATATTAGTCATCGCCGCTAAATAATATCACCGTTCAATAAAAACCCAACAAGCAAAGTACATTTAGATGGAAAACAATAACGAGGATCCAAAATAATGCAGCAAAGAGATGGCCAGTGTGTGTGTGAGAGAGAGAGAGAGAGAGAGCCACAGTCTGGGACGGATTCATTAGTGGGCTATGGTAGGTTGAAGCCCATAGTAAAAAAAAATTAAAAAATTATCACTTTCATACAAGACTATTAGTACCAACCCATTAAATTACTAATCATTAACCCAATTTCTCAAAACTCTTAAGTAGTAAGCTCTAATAATAATGGAAAGATAGAATTTTTAAGGGTTTTTTATTTTTATTTTGATCGAAACAGAGAGGAAATTACGCAGGGGTGGAGGGACAGTTAGGCCAAGGTAAGCAAGTGCCCCCTTCAATTTTTTTTTTTTTATTTGTAAGGTATATGTATTATATATATATATATATATATATATATATATATATATATATGTGTGTCCCCCTCATTTATATTAGACCCACATTATTTATCCAAAAAAATTAAAAAATTTAATCCATTTAAAACAAAAAATTTTGAGCCAATATTATCTACCTAAACTTATTAAAATCTACCCAAACCTATTACAAAAACTTTTGACTCCACATTAAAAAAATAAAAATTTTGGCCCAACATTAAAAAACAAAATTTTTGGGCCACATAATATATTAAAAAATATTTATATTTTGTTAGTCGTATAAATGCTTAGCTTAACCCAAAATAAACAAAAATCTTGGCTCCGCTCTTAGCCACAACCTGTGCTGCATGTATTATAGCACTGCCAAAAATTAATTGAACTCATGTCAACTTGGCAAAAGACTGGGCTCTTTCATTAATAACTTCAATAGAGAAGCACATAGAACAGTAATGCCTGCACTATTACTGATACATTCCTAGAAACAAAATTCGTACAACCATGGTTATTATTCAGTTTAGTACATATAATCCGCAGCAAATGTAAAGTAAAATGCCAACTACAGTAACTTATTGCTAAGAGTAACATTATGACACTCTTTGGTCGCAACAGATGTGATCCATACCAGTCAATAGCTGAAATGACAATTAGCATCAAGTCTACAATATATCATCAACAAGCCTACCACAAACCCATTTCTTGGTCATGGTTACCGAGTTATTTGGTGTTTCCTCTTTGCCTGATTGAGATTTTGTTCCATTTGGCAGGAGCTTCTGTTCATGTCTCTTGCTCCCATTTGGCTCAGGGTGGTCAGTTTGCTTCGTGAAGCTGGAATGGTTTATCATACCATCCAATGACGACATAAGCAACCCATTATCACTGGAGCTTGTTGAATAAAGCTCCTCCTTACCATTCAATAAACCATAGTTATCAGAGCTCTTTGGTAGAACATTTTTACCATTCAGAATATCTTCCAAGGTGAAGTTACTGAAATTGAAGTCCATAATGCCACCTTGAGTTGATGATATGGTGTAGGTTCCGTTTACTTCCCTATGATCTGCTTGGCTGAGACCTTTAATTTTCCCATATTTTCTCTCCTCAACATGGTTTACCCGTCCAGATGAGGTGAAGCCAGAGGACCTATTTTCCTCATCAGAATTCACCCCTCCAGACTCTATGGATTCAATGGATTCAACTGCTTCAGCTATAAGCTTCCTGGTTTCGATGAGTGAAGCATGAGCAAGAGGGCTCCTTGTTGCAGCTACCTCAAGGGCCTTTGCAGCTTTCTCAGCTTCAGCAATCAATTGTCTGCATAATGATAAATAACATAAATGCAAAAGAACCTACTTTGCAAAAAAAAACCAGCCTAGTTTACCGAGAGAGGGGTCCAAGATAATAAAAGAAAGTAAGACAATAAACATACCCCCTCCCCCACCCCCCCCCCCCAAAAAAAAAAAAAAAAAAAAACAGAATGGACATATGAGCAATCAATTACGAGAACTCGATCCAGGCCTCTAGACCACTCAGACATCCCTTTCCACTTCGCCTTCCCTATCTATCCATGCGCTGGCAGGTAAGGGCTTATCTATGTGATTCGCTACGCTTGCTCCCCCACCCCCCCTTCCAAAAAAAAGAACAAAAAACCACACAGAGAAAGCACCCCCAGTTCCACATGCCTCTCCTCTTTCGCCAGTTTTTGCAGACATATCCAACAGAACTATAGAAGCTAGATACAGAAAAGCAACTTACTTTGCTCTAGTGATGGCCTCAGATTTCTTGGTTTCTGTAGCTGCTCTCTGCGCTCTGATATTTTTTATCATCTCTAGCTTGGAATTTGACAGAGGGTCCTTATACATGGGGGCATTCGCTCTCTTCAACCTAGGTTGTAGATTTTCGCTTTTGGTTTCACTCCCTGCAGAATCATTCATATCATTACCTCTCTTTGTTACAGGGCTCTTCTTTCTGAGCTCTCTATCACCACTAGGCCTTCTCTTCAGCTTTCTTTCAACTCCAATAGGAGTGCCATGATATTTTGATAGGCCAGAGTAAACCCGATCACGGTATGCCTATGAACCAAGGTATAGACAATCTCATGAAACATGTAAAAGGAAGCCAAATACACAAATCAGAGAAGTTAAGGCTATTGCCCCGATTCTACCATTATCACAGCTACAATAACAATGACCCTTGTTAATAAATGTTCATGCCTGATGATGCATATAACTATGGTCCACAACCAATAAGTACTAGAGATTCTTCAGTCAAAAAACATGGACATAGCATTTTAAATATCAATATAAGCACTTACAGGGTCAGCCCATTTGGCAGCAATGGCCTCTGAAATTTTCCTCCTCTGCTCAGCTGACTTCGGTGCTCTCTTACTACATTTAGGCCGGGGCATTTTCTTCCTTTCTTCAACACTCTCTAACCATTCCTGCTCAAGCTGTTCATCCAAGATCTTGTAGGAGTCCCACTGCAGCTCTTCCTCACCAACAAAACCTCTTCTGGAAGCTTCTGCAATTAAATTCTGCCACTCAAAGTGGCAAGTTTCCTGCACCCTTTGCTTCCCACGTCGCCTTTCCCAACCCAATCGCACTCCAACTCCAATCTTAAACCTTGTTTCTTTGCTGCACAATCAAGGAAGAAATGTGCCAAAAAAAAAAAAAAAAGTTTGTTACAGTGCTGAGAGCTACAAAAAATAAGTCTAAAAAATCAAATATCCTCTGGACTTTTGAGCCCCAAGTACAAGCCAATGAAATGTCGAGCCTCTGAGAGACAAATTTTTCTTTCAATATCTAACGTTTGGAAAGGAAAATATATAGAATTCATCATAACAAGGAAGATACAAAAAGTTCTCATAGGGAAGGTGCAAAACAGTCAATATTGTGTCCAACGGGCTCTCATCCGCTGCAATTGGCAATAAGTCATACTTCTACAGTTGTATTGATGAAATATTATATTTTTTTACTCTAAGGGACAATACATCCAAGATGCTTTAGAGAAATCAAGAATTTGGAAAATTATGGCGTTATATACTTTTTTTCCTTCCTTTCCTAATTATGAGTTAATCTCACTAATTAAGTCTACTTTTTTAAATGACAACTAGAGGACTCATGGTAGCAAAACAAACATTCGATGTACACAATCACCTGCAAACCGTGCACACTGGTAAAACCTGGATTCTGGCTAGTGGGACTTGAACACAGGATGTGCACATTTTTATTCTTGCCCCTTGTTTGACCACCAAACAAACTTACGTGAGTTCACTAAAACTGCTATTATTAAAGGTTAATATTGGAGATACCAAAGCATCAAATTCTATAACTACCCTATGTGAATGAATCTGTCCAAGATAAAATCCATTTCTCCAAAAGCTAATTTTCAAAGCATGAAGTTTGAGGAACATCTAACAATTTATGCAAGATCATGAAGTCAATGTAAATTAGATGATACAAAAACAAAGATAACAAAGGAAAAGCTAAAATTCCACAAACAAGAGGAATGGCATGAGACCCCCACCTCTGAGCATGTCCCAGATTCACCAACTTCATTTTGACCTGCATGACCAAATCTTATTCACTAAATCAATAAACTTAAAGACAATCCAAATTAAAATAAAAAGATATCTTTGCTCTACCCACACTTTCCTCATTTTGTATAAGCAGAAAATCTCTCACTCCCTGTTATTGATATGATATAGATTGACCACATCATAATCTAAATCATCTCAGTCCACTCGTACATGGAATCAGCCACCTCATAAATAGGTAAAAAATGATACAAGGACACTACAGAGGCAAATGACAACATTAAAACAAATGCAGAATCAAATTGCAAACAGAAAAGTTCGCTCTGCATAAACCTGAAATGAAACCCAGATTATCTCATCATCAATGATGAGTCCAAGAGAACTGCTCTTTTGAATTGGATTTTTGATGCTTATCAGTTGTTACACTATGGTGTTCATTTTCATGTTCTCTTACACAAACCCTGGCATGAGACAGTGATCCAACCCTCATGTAATCTCTAGAATCAGTTTCCTAAAAGAAATTGGCAGAACATAACCCAATGACCAAACGTCTTTGTGCTCCATGGTAGCATCATTAAATAAATTAAATGTTTTGAGACTGATGCAATATCCTAATTGTGCCGTGTTATCACCACTCCCTCTAAGTAGTGATACATTCGGCAGGCAAGGGAGCTGGTTTTCAAGGATGCTCAAAAGTTCCTGATAACAAGCATCTATAGCTTAATCTCAAGTTCTAGGCTAAAAGAAGGAGAAGGGCGCTGCCACACTAATTGAAAGGTTTACAGTACTTCATCCACTCTGGAATATCTTTTGGTTAGCACATAGTCCTCCTTAGGATTATGCAATTATAATTAGGTGAAGTACTCAACATAGAGGCGTGATGCTACTTTTAAAACCAAATTCTTTGAATTCTTGAACAAGTTATCACAAAGGATTCATGTCAAATTATTCTTACATGACATCACCTTAGGATCCTGCATAGCAAGCCTGGTTCTCTCCTTGATCCGTTGTAGGGTTTCTGCAAACGATTCAAAGATTTGTGCTTGAAGCATCGAAAACGCAACAACACTGCAAACAATTTCATTAATACAGACCCTAGGCCAAATGGCATTGTATTGTACTCACCTGGACTGTGCTTCCTGCCTTTATTCCAAGGTGTGTTCCCTTTATTTGCTTTGGAAATCCTCATCCGTCTCAACTTCTCTCTCTCATCCAATTCTGTTGAGTCTTCACTTGAAGATTGATGCTCAACCACTTGGGAACTACTACCTGAATTGACACCAATTGGTAAGTTCTGGTAAGCCTCATCTTTGTCATTGCCCCTGGCTAGTTGTATATGTTCTAAAGTAGCAACTGCCTTGATGACTAGCTCACCCCTGGATCCGTCAATGCCACCCAAGTTGAAGTTTTTAAATTTTTCCGGTATACGGAACGTTCTCCATGAAGATGCCGCCAATCTCTTCTCATTTCCAAAAACAAATTTACCATGAAAGAGGGTTTCAGACCTAAATGTATATATATAATTTCGCAATGAAGGCTGTGCAGTAGCAATATCTGCACCACAAATTGAAAATCCAAAAGTCAGAAAAGAGTAATTAATTGCCAGCAAGATGCAGTGAACAAGCACCAATATCCGATTGTGCAACATAACAACACTACTAGAATGGTTTTGCAAAAAATGATAACAATTTTTCACACACACACACACACACTAATCTCGCTATAAATGATAAATCACCCACCATTTATAAGATACGCATTAAGAAGTAGTCGTGAGATTTAGGGCAGAATCAAGTAAAAGAAGAAGAAAAGAGAACCATAGAAATTACGACGGAGCATTTACCTAATAAAGGCATGGGGAGGTCATCCAGTCAAGTACTAGGAAATAGCAGGGTTCAGTCTATAAACCTTCGTGTTCTTCTGTACCTTTCAAATTGAATGTCAGAGAAATAGAGACCATTTCACTCAGTCAGAGATTGTTGAGTACCGAGAGAAGAGGCGTTCTTGCAGAACCTAACGAAGCTTTGGTGTGGTTTGGTTTGGGGACACAGCGAGAACCACACACACCCGTGTGCTGTCCTGAAGTAGCAGAGGCAGGCTGATAAAGAAGATAACGATGATAGATAATATTGGTATTTAATTTGAAGATTTGATTTAAAGAACTGATGTACTATTTTTCCTAAATTAAGTGAACCTTATTTTGTACCTTAAAAAATAGTATCATCAAATTACATTCTCATTAATAATAAAAAAAAAAAAGAAGTAAATTACACATGACCTTCCCGAACTTAGGATCAGTGACCTGCCAATGCCCTAGACTTTTACAAGTTACACTTAACCCTTGTTACTTATAAATAAACTATAAATCTAACAAAAATCGTGAATTTTAACGGTGTTTGAGCTGCATGTGCCGATCAAATTGTGTGAACTATGAATGCTTTGATTCTATATGTTCAATATGACAATTTTATCCTTTTTAAGTTCAAAAAAAAAATTAAGAAAACAAAACAAAAATAGCTAATAAAAGCTAAACCTAACTTGTTTTTGGCTTTTATTAGCTATTAGCTATTAGCAAGTTAATTGTGCAAATAGCTAATAGCTAGTTTCTTTCTCTCGCTCTCTCTTTCACACACACACACACATGCCGATGTCTATGCAATTTGGGTACGAGGACAATGATTGCTCTGTAATTGGGTGGTGGAGTTGTGGTGAGGAGGACTTTGTCAGGTTAGAGGCCTTCGTGCTATGACATTTGTGTGATTGAGCTATCGATGGAGTGGATTTGATTGGATGTTGAGTGGTGTCTGTGGAAGGGTTTGATTAGGTGTTTAGTGGTGTTGGCTGATTGGGTTTGATTGAATGTTCAGTGGTGGTGAAAAAGGGTATGTTGGCTGTTTAGTGGTGTTGGTGGTGAGGGTTTGTTGGATGTTCAGTAGTGGTGGTTTGTTTGGGTGTCCAGCGGTGGCTTTATGGTGATGGAGCAAGCGATGGTGGTGAACTTTTGGGGTGGATCTATGGTGGTAAGGGTGTGGATGTGAGTGAGTGTTGTGGGCTTGTTACAATAATGGGGGTATGGATTAATGGTCAGTGTTGGTTTTATGGTGGTGGAGTCTGTGGTAGTGGGGGTATGGATTATTTTTCAATCTTACTTATGTTTATACTCTCATAAAAGATTTCAATCCTCAAATTACATTCTCATTAATAAAATAAAATAAATCAATGCAACTCAGACTCAAATTGTCATTTAATTTTTCAGTCTGAAAATTCATCTGATTGTCATGTGTTGTGTCACTTATATATTAAAAAGTAAACGACAATTTGGAAATGAACAATATTTTAACTTTTTTAGGACATTAAGTGTAAAATTTAAAAATTACTATCTTTCAAAATGTAAATTGAGAATTCAACATCTTTCAAGGTACAAACTATAATTAACCCAATTAATAGTTGCTATAAATTTCAATGCTAATCTAATTGTATGAATGCATTAACATTTTACTTTCAATTCGCCAATCAACTACATATAACATTATTGTTTTGACAATTGAATTGTTTGGCTAGTATTATAGAAGAGCTCAACAATTTTAGACAACCTTACAATTTGTCATTTTTTTGTATAAGAACAACTCCAAGAGACTCTTTAAAAGCCTCATCTTAGCTATTTTGAAGAGTCGGCTCCTAAAATTTCTCTCCAACAAGCTCTCTATCACACTAACTATTTTACCTCAACCCATTTGCACTCGCTACTTCTAGCAAGCGAAACTAGCTCGGTATTTGCCTATTTTACGCTAATTTCGTCTTCGTCTTCTTGCAATTGCTTCATCGTCTTCTTGTTGTGGCTTCATCGTCTTCTTCCAAGGCTTAATCCCTTAGGTATGGAGCTCTCTATGTGTGTGTGTGTACAGACCATCGAATCCCTAAAACTCTATCTCTTTTTCTCAATTCCTCTCTTTCCCACTCTCACTGTGTGTGTGTGTGTGTATCCATAAACCACCAAATCCCAACTAAAACCCCACTTCTCTCTCTCAGCTCCTCTCCGTTTCACTCTTTTTATCTCACGCACACAACACACAAATGGAAAACCCAAATCAAAACCCCAAATCTCTTTCTGTGCACACACCCACCCAGTATCCCCTACTCCAAATCCCCCTCTACGCACACCCTAGCACAACATCTCCCACCCTAAATCCCTTTTTGCGCACACATCCACCAAATCAAAAACCCCAAATCCCTCGTTGTATGTAATTTTCTGTGTTGTAATTTCATTGTGTTGATTCATATAATTTTTGTGTTGTGTTTGAATTTTCACATACAATCTTGATGTTGTGAGAGATTTGAGCCAAGAAACCTATTTCATCAAAGACATATTGACAATGTTGAGAAGTAATAAGTTGTTGGATAAATTGCCAAAATCCAAATTGAAGCTATACATTTGCTAAATCAAACCATGACCCCAAAATATTTCATTTAAAAGAGTAGAAATTTTTTTGATCGTAGCATGATCAATAATTTGCTAATTTTAGCATGTTGGTCTTGTTGAATTATAGGCATTACTTATGGAACCATTTCAACATGGTGCTTACTTCACCAATCTCATGAATGATAGAACAAACTTAAATGATGAGTTTATCAATCAATCATCACTAATATTTCCTCAAGTAGAATCTATCACCAAAAAATAGCGAGATGACAACTTTACAGTAGAGAAAGACGTTAAGATAATCTCAGTGCAGTTTATTTTAGTTTGGATGTTGTGCAAGAAAATGAGCAAAAATCAAAGACATATTGATACAACATATTTGACAAAAAAATATGACATTTCATTTGCACCATTTGTATTGGTAAACCATTATGGACAATCAATATTACTTGGGTGTGGACTAATATCAAGTGAAAATACAAAGACATTTACATGGTTGTTCAGTCTTGGCTCACAAGCATGTAGGGATGTCCTCCCAATGCAATAGTTATTGATCAAGACAGAGCTATGAAAAATGTTATAGAGATTGTTTTCCCTAATGCACGACATCAATGGTGCTTGTGGCATATAATGAAGAAGCTACCTAAAAAATTGAGAGGGTATAATCAATATAAATCAATCAAGTTCAATGTGCAAAATGTCGTGTACGATTCATTGACAGTAGAAAAATTTGAAGAAAGTTGGTGTAGGTTGATCTTGAAGTATAATCTCAAGAGCAATGAATGGTTAAGTGGGTTATATGGGGAAAGAAGTCGTTGGGAGCCTTCGTTTGTGAAAGATATTTTTTGGGCTGGAATGTCAACTACACAATGTGAGTGAAAGCATGCATGCCTTTTTTGATGAGTATGTCAATTTGAAGATTACCTTGAAATAATTTGTTGAACAATATGAGAATGCTTTGAGAAATAAGGTGGAAAAAGAAAAAGCAGGAGCACTTCAATTCTTACAATTCATGGCTTCGATGTATAACTCCATACGAATTGGAAATGTGAAATCAATCCCCATACCTAGATTGTAGTCAGTTTGGGTAAATAACTCAATTGTAGGGCAAAAAAAAATTACGACTATAAGTGTTACCTGATAATATTGTTGTTTTCGTTTTGTTGCTGAGGTATTGAGACGAATAACATTCTTCTTATTGCCGAGTGGACAATCTGGGGGATTTGTGCTAAGAACAAAAAAGAAAAGAGTGTTATTTGTGCTAACTATAACCACTGACTTTGGTCTTGATGAATAAGGTATTTTCATTTGGTAAATGCATCGTTCAACAACCAGCAAATGGGTAGGAAATGGGCCCACAAGATGGGTAGAAAATGAAAATAAAATGCAAATGGGTAGGAAATAAAAATGAAATGCAAATACAACTGACCAAGGAAATGCAACTTTTTTGTGATTTGGTATAGGGCCCACAATGCCACTTCAGTTGGTATTGTCAGACTTGGTATATTATTTGTTCAATGTAATAAATTGTTTAATTATTGATAGTTAGATAAAATAGAGAGCGTTGTTAGAGTGAACCACTACAAATGACTCTTTAGAAGAAAGTGTGTAATATAAAAGCATATGTTGACTAGTTATTTTAACTAGAATCCTTGGAGTTGCTCTTAATTGCAGATATGCCAGAGTTTGACTAAATTTTTAAGTTTCAAACACCAGGACCTCGTCTAATTTGATCAATGTGAGATTTTTATCATGACTATTCAAGCAATTGAAATAAAGCATAAGATTACTACTAAGTTCTTTTCTAAACCTTTAAATTAAGGAGTTAAATGAATTAACTTAAAAGATGGCTATAACAAGAATACGAATTAAAAGAGATGATCCAATAAGAATGAAACTTTTTATTGATTGACGAAAGAATCAAGTACAATGTGAACTATTGAACAAAAATAACATACCAAAACTAATGGTATATTTGGTAGGAGGGATATAAAATAATAGACGAAAAAGTATGAGTGATATATTTTTTATCATTTGAGGAAGTAAATATTTTTCTCTTCTTCTTGTTTGGTAAAAGGAATGGAAAAATAAAAAATAAAAAAAACTTTTTATTGTTTTATCTAGTTAAAAAAATTAATAATATATATATATATATATATATATATGCATATAATTTATTGTCATGCATACTCTTGTGTTTGTTATAAAACTACTAACAACATTCATGGGCCCCACCACTTTGTATCACTTGGAGAAATGAAATGATGTGGAGCCCACTATTATTTTTCTATTTAGCAGGTAATCAATAAGGGCATAAAAGTAAATTTGTCAAATGTAATCAGTAGCCTTCATGTTTCTTTCATTTTCTATTTAGCAAAGTGCAACGACTAGCTTGACAAGCTGGTTGATGTTGAGATCCCTTTTTTATTTAGTTTTATCATATTTATAGATGGGATCCTCAACTGCTAAGGCCATTTCTTTGGTCACAACACACGCTTCCAAGAGTTTTCCTCTTTAATGGCTATAAAATGTTTTTCTTAATCGCCCATAACTAGTTTTTTTTTTTAGAGGGGAAGGGGAAGGGGAAGGGGGAGTTGAACCCTTGACCTCAAGAAGACAAAGTATTCACAAGGTAAAGAGTACCATTGGACCAAAGATCCATTTGTATCATTATCACGTCATGATAAT